AGATTGGCTGTCAATGTTTTTTTTATCATACAAAACCACAAAACAAAACAGATATGGACTTCCCTATTCTCACAGAAATGAAAATAATTAGCATACAACTTGAAAGTTGTTGTCTTGAACGGGCCTTAACTGACCTACAGTACAGTAGATAATATAGCATTACTACACAAATTGTCACTTGTTGTTTTAGCTTTAAGTATGAATTTGGAATCCAAGTTGTAACCCATCCTAATAAACTGACTTTGTAGCTGTTTATCAATGGATGCATATCAGAAGTTTTGTTTGTATTTAGTTTTGCAATTTCCCTTAAATAATTTGTGGTCAAAAATAAGCAATATAAAATAGGGTGCATGGTTGTGTGCAAGTGAAAACGTTGTCACTTTCTGTCACCAATGAACCACAAGGAGCACCCAGCAAAATATTCCAGCACCATTGCCAATCATCACAAGCACTAACAAAAAATGCAAAAATTCTGCTCAACAACTAAAGATGCTTCCTCTTTATTTGAAACATTACTGCCACAAGTCATTTCAAAAAATGGAGTGAAAAGTGAAAAATGTTTGGACAGTAAATGACACCTATGCTGTTTGGCAGAAATTATGGCTCCTCTAATCCAAATACATCATGAAGACTGTCCAAACTATACAATATATATTTTTTAGTAAGCTATATCACCTAGCCCTATTATTCACAAAATGTAATAAGTCTGCCAAAATGGTGCACAAGGACTTTTGTTCTTCATGCTTGAAGTCAAAACCATCATTTGGTCTTTCTTGCAGCATTTAGATGTATTTGTATTCACTGAGGAAAGATGCATCTATTAAGGAAACTCATTTCTCATGCAAGCTGCAGCAGGACAGGAGTTTGGGATTTCTAATATAACTTTAAAAGACTGGATATTTTGAATTCAGGGTTTGACGTATTCTTTCGAGCAATTATCTTGTCGTTTGCACAAATCATTTTTGCATGCGCTTCATTTAAACTTTGCAGACTGACTCACTTCAAAAATATATTTTTGTCTGCAATCACACTTCACTGAAGAATTTATACGGATTAAATCAAGTCTTTTTGGCAATTCATTGTTGATATCTCATGGTGCCAGTAAGCGCTTGGATTTGATCAAGTTTGTCAAATCTTTATTCTTTGGAGTTGTTTCGTCAATATTTTTTTGCCTGGGTGTCAGGAAACTTGGGTGGTAAAAATCATATTTTGACAGTTAAGGGAGCAAGTGCTGCAATGTTCAAGAACCGGCCGGAAAGAGTAATTTAAAATTGCATCTACTGTACCTTCAGTTTTTATGAACCTCACAGTTGTAGCCAGGCAATTTATTCTAGAGAGCTGACAACTCAGCTTCCCTGCTTAATAGCAGGAAGGAGCCAGAGAAGAAGCCCTTCAGCCCTATTTGCACATCAAGAGAGGTGTGCAGGTTAAGGCTCAGGCAGTGCTCTGCATGATGTGCAGCACAGCAAGAGAAAGAGCAAAAAGATGATTAGAAGAAAATGAGGAACGCACAGGCCTGTAAAGAGTACAGTAAGGCTAAACATCACCCATGCACTTTCAATCGTGGGAGGAAATCTGTTCCTTAACTGAGATGAGCACAGTAACCACTCTGGATGGCGATTAAAGATTTGTGTCTTTAGAATGTCTGTGTCTAACTTCCAGTTTACACCTGGTATCAAGATGTGTTTTGGTAGATTGAATCACGTGTAGACATGGGGGACACATTCCCATTCACCCCTGGCTTTTTCATCCATCTCTTTTGTCCACTTTCGACCACTTTCCTGATTTCTTTGAGGGGAGGGTGTATATGGGATTTTTCTGATCTCTCAGTCTAATGCTGTGAAATAAGCTTGCGCAATTTACTTATGAATGTAAAAGGAGACAATGGAAAATGATACGGAGAGCAGCAGCTTTCGTTTCTGCTCTGATAGCTGCAAAACTATGCCGGGTAATCAGGAATGGTAAGAGAACATTGTGCTTTTCCAACCCAGGCTCATTGGAAATACATGCTTGTGGCGATGTCTCTGCAACACCGATATTTTGTACCTAAGTTTCAAAGTGAAATATCCAGTGAGTGGTGCTAAAACTCGCATTCAATATGTGAGTGTGGCCGTGTTTTTATTACGTTGGTACAGGAATGTATTGCTGCATTCTACGTTAATTACGTTGCTTCGGGTACGTATTATGGCGGTTCAGAATTCAAATGTCTGAGGAGTGTTGCTAAAAGTTTAATGCTCTATCGTGTTGGAAAATCACACACACCTTACACCAAACCCAGCCTTAAACCTATATTGTTAATGAAAGCAAAAGTGATATAAATGTATCAGTTTTCTGATCTCGCAGCATGTTAAAACAGTTTTGAAATCATAATATTGTGCAAGGAATTGTGTGAAATTTAGGCTTTTTTAGTCTAAACTCTGGCCCTGTAAATCATACTTTGTGTAAAAAGGATTCATTTAAACTGAAAACTGCAGTTATTTGTACATATAATATGTATTTCGAATTTTGCAGTAATGTAGGCAGAGGCACATATTTCCAATGAGCCTGGGTAGGCTTTTAACATTTCAAACCAAACTTAAGATTTCAGCTGGCAAAGTTTAAATCCCATCTGGCTAGAATGCTTCAACAACACATCCCATAATGTTTAAGAATCAGATCAGTAGGCATAGAGGAAGCACTCTTTTGTGCCTGTTCAAATGCATTTGACCACATTAATGTTTATGAAAGCAATACAGTCAAATGCATTTTAGAAATGGTCGAATGTGGACAAGCTCACAATATTTCAGACCCCATTTACAACTGTATTTAGCATTGTCACTTTGTGATCGACAAAAACACAACCCAATGCAAGAAACAGGGTCTAAGTCCAAATAAATCGCTGTAGGCTATATGTCATGCACAGCAATCTGCAGTGAGGAAAAGAGATGAGATCAATGATTTTCAATGAGAGTTGCTGTTTTCTGGTGACATAAGTCTGCAATTCAACAAAGCTAAGATGTTTCACTGTATGCAAATGAATAGTGAGCAACAGGAGCAAAGACCATGGAGATCATGTGATCAGGATGTTAATATTAATGATTTTGATTCCTCTTAATGATTCCATTTCCTTAACAGTTTCATTTAGTACTTTAAATGAATAAAGGAAAAGGAAAGAAAATGCTTATTTCTTGAAAAAAAAATCAATGCTTTCAATAATTAGTTAAGCTGTAAAAGGTACTGAATGAAAAAATGTACAAATTATTATTATTATTTATTTATTTTTATTTTTTTACCAACAATACATCTAATTTGTGAGATTTTACACAGACCACCAACATTATTAACACCAAGTCCTAACTGGACAACTGATGCCACAAGACGTGATAAAAATCCTAATCAGCCAAGTTGGCTATTTGTGACAAGCACCAGGAGAATCTGTTTCTGGAACGCTTTCTATTTCTGCAACATCACGGCTGACAGCTGACTGCATTTTGTGTAATATTAAAATACTTTCATTTTAGTTTGAATATCATTGTGCATGACTTTAATAGCCATAAAGAACGTAACAAATCATGATTTACCAGATATCATGAAAATAAATTAAGACAATTTTAGGAAATATTGTATCAATCACTGTGTTTTGAATTTGTATGTAGTTTAATTATTTACTTCCATTTCGTTGTGAGTGTGAGACAGCAGTGCGCTGGCAGAGAGCCCACCCACACTCTCTTCTGACTGGCTCTGATTAGTGATTGATTTTGTTGCATCCTGTAGCTGTGTCGTGTCTGGTACGGACATAAACATTGCTTGCCGCTGGAATCTTATTGCATCCTGTCTGGTTTTGAAGAGACAGTAATGCCTACTAGCGAAGAACAGTACAGCAACCTGGTGACCTCAAAAACACTGTCAGTGTTGAGAAGGGCATAAGAAATTCTCTAAGCGAAAAACATTTCTGATCAGCTATTTTCAGACTTTTTGAAACAGACTGCAAACAGTAAGCATGTTTCAACCCAGTATTCAAAACACACTTTTGAATAAAAGATGTACACATTGCATTTGAGAGATCTAGCTTGGTTTAAAATGCATGATGCATGGCACATAACATGTGCCACATGTTTAATTGATGTGCATGTGTCAATGCATTCCTTGAGCCCTGCCAGCGTGAAGCCTGTATAAATATTGCAGTTTTATGGCTCATCTGTTGAGATGAAGCCCAGGAAGACACTATGAGGTACAGCCTTGAGATGTGAAATCCATAATCCATTAAATTACAGGAACATTCCTGACTAACCATTGCCATCAGATAATGCAGATGTCAAAATGTGACACGCTGTGCCCTGGCATATATCTAATCTGAACATACAGCAAAAATTAATGGACTGTTGAGACATACCCAAAAGAAAGATCATTTTGTTGTCACGGGCAACTCTCACCATTGCGAGGGAGTAAAAGTTGTGAATTCTGTACATCTTGGTCATTAAATTCTAATAATATCATACAGTACTGCATGAATAAACATAACATCATGCATGATTGGTGTTGCAGAATCTTTCAAATTACTGAGAGGAAGAAAAATGTCTCAAAACCTTGTGAGGCAGCATTAAGGCGTTACAAGCACGCTTTAGATGCGAAGACCGTTCCAAATGGTATGCAGCACTTATTTATTTTTTCTTCCAGATATCTTCGTTTGGCCAAATTCTAAAGCAGCGTCTATGTCATTTCTTCACAGAGAAGCTAATATAATAATGCAACAAGCGCCATTAAAAAAATCACTTAAAAGACATTCTAAAAGATTATAACAGTCAATTATAGAAAGTAAAACCAGAAAGTACTGACACAAAACTAAAAACTAAAAAAATTGAATATTTTACATGTTGTGTAGTTTTATATTTATTAGAGCATGGAATTGTTAGCAATATTGATAACAGCAAACAAACACTATTTGTAAGCTCCTGTGAAGGCATTATGAAGCTAACTAGATTAAAGAGAGAGAAAAATAGAAGCAGGAAATGCAAACGTACCTGTACTGAGGGGAAGGAATGCCCTTTGCGTCACAGGCCAGTGTTGCCTCTTCCTCTAGTGAGCCCACTGTCAGATCACTAGGCTCCATTCGCCATTTCGGCCCATTGAAAGACTTATAATCCACACATTCTGAGAGCAAATGACAGAATGCAATTACATATTTGTATCTTAATGCACAGTTTAACCTGAAGTGTGTCATTTTTTCTTTTATGCAATAGTTGACCCAATAAATAGCAGAACCATACCTGTTCTTTTACTAAGGAGAGACAATTATAATGTAAGCCATACTGTAGGTTTACTCCTTCAAAGATGTAAACACTACAGCTTTGTGGTGCTATTAAACCATTGATCTGTTTGTTTGAGTATCCTAAGCAGCCAGAGACAGTGACACCGACTCAGCCAATGGTGTTAGTTTAGCGGCGGGAATAATGCCTGACTAATTTGTTCGACCAAAGGCTGATGGGTTTAAAGTCACCATGAATTCAAGATTGACTAGTCTTATTGTTATGGAAAATTACAGGGTTTATTATAAATGATTTATCTTGGTATTCATTATTATTTTTTAATTTTTTCATAACATTTAATCAAAAACTTCCTGTCCTCCTCTCTTCTCTGATGACAAGTGCACCATTAAGAGGATGACAATGATCCAGTCAGTTCCCAATGGACAAAATCAAGCCCCATTTTTATCTCATTCAAAAAGCGGTTTCGTTGGATATACATCACAATAGAGAAGCATAGATGAAAGAAAAGAAACCTGGTTGCAAATTAATAATTTTTGCAATTCTTTTATGTTACGCTTACACTAGTAAAAAGAAAAAATGACACACTTCAGCTTTAAAGTCAGCTTATTTGACCTTAACAAAATAAAATTCGATAACACTTTATAATAGGCAACGCATATTCACTATTAATCTACTTGGTACGGTGTTAAAAGAACACTCCACTATTTTTGAAAATAAGCTCATTTTCCAACTCCCCTAGAGTTAAACAGTTGAGTTTTACCGTTTTCAAATCCATTCAGCCGATCTCTGGGTCTGGTGGTAGCACTTTTAGCTGTAGCTTAGCATAGATCATTGAATCTGATTAGACCGTTAGCATCTCGCTCAAAAATGACCAAAGAGTTTCGATATTTTTCCTATTTAAAACTTGACTCTTCTGTAGTTACATCGTGTACTAAGACCGACGGAAAATGAAAAGTTGCGATTTTCTTGGCCGATATGGCTAGGAACTATACTCTCATCCTGGCGTAATAATCAAGGAACCATGGGTGCAGCAGGCGCAATGATATTACACAGCGCCTGAAAATAGTCCCCAGCACGCTCCCTGTGCAAGCAGGTGGTCACATTGGTTATGTTG